TTATTTAGGATTATTATTTACTGGCTGCAAATGTCTTGTATTGTTTGGGTATGTGATTGGTCACCATGGGTTGAGGCTGGTGCTCACTTTACAAATGTAATCCTTTACAATTCCTATTTACCCGTCAAAAAATGTAGTCAGTAACTTAATCTGAGTGCCAAAATATAAAAGTCATGTAACCTGATTACTGTCGGTTACTTTTGGATCGCCTCAATATCAAATGCAAATAAATACAAGAGATAGGAAATGGCAAAAGTATGTTTTTCTAACTAAGTGGAATATCTAAGACAACAGAACAATGTAAGATAAGAAACCAAGATATTTAGGATCAAAAACCTGCCTTTCATTCAGCATAGCAGGCAGCACCCTTTACACCCAACACGTTGTCACTACCACACATGGATTAACATCGATTTAATACATTAATGTAGCCTTTGTTTCTGCTAAAAGAGGTGTCGACCAGCTGGGGCAACAAGAAAATCGGCGAAATCGAGTGTGACTATTACAAAATTAATTATTATTATATTAATTTAATATTGACAATAACAACCGACCGTCGGGGAGCGTTCTCATGGCGTCTATTATCAACGCTATGGGAGGTTTATGAAGGTCTATGGGACGCCCTGCCCGTTGTAAACTGACTTCCAAGGGGTACCCTGTCCGTAATACAGTGACGGGGAGGGGCCCTGACCGTCCGTCAATATGTGACGGGTTGGGAGTGAGAACGTGTTGTTACACCTACAATGAAACACATGAGCACATACTACAGTTTAAAAAAGCAGAAATACAATCTGAGCTGATAGAAAATTCTCCGTTTTAGTTTAATACGCAAAGTTAAGCTTACACACACTATTTTATGAACATATTGGTTCACCTAGTGAATTAAGAACAGAACAAATGAACCAAAGAAAGTGAAAACCATAAAGCAGATTCAGGCAGAAGTTGTATAGATTCAAGTATTAGCAATTTTTTAGATGTAATAGTAATATAATTGTGTATTTTATTGTAATCCCGTTACATGTAATCTGTTACTCACCAAGCCCCAAAGCAATTTAATAAAATGTGCATTACCATCATTTATGTTGGTATGTCAGCGTGTTTTAGTGTGGATTTATTTTGCTGCTTGTCCCGGTGCGCGTTGGCAGACACAGTGGAGACCTTGGCTGCACTGGGGTTCTCTCAGGTGTGAATTCTGTATAAACGCAGAGCTTGTGGAGCTGAAAAAACAGCGTGCATCATGCTGAGAGAACCCTTCCCTGGATGGCTGTGAAATGTGTGAGAAAGGTCACACACATCCCGGGGGAGAGCAAAGGAGTGTTTCCTTCATTTCTTTCTAAGTTTCTGAAGGTCATTGATGAATGGACGCAGAAGCGGTTAAAGGTGAACCTCGTATAAACAGCCCGTGTCGAAAGGTGCAAAATCTGACCTGGTCAATATGTGTATGCTTCTAAAGATCATTTTAATGCAGTGACCCAGCCTCGGGTATTTATTCAGATGATTCCCACTGATCAACGGTGTGCAGTAAGCATTTCAGAAGCGAGAAGAAGAAGAGCACTTCCTTTCTGAAGAAGAACGACTATGAAAGACGTTTGTATTTCACTCTTCTTTAACACAGATGTCTCTTATCCCACGTTCACCTTTGCAGCAAAGACAGCCCTTTTCACTCAAACTGGTTTCCAACAAAAACTGTCAGGAAAAGGAAACTCATGCGGCTGTCACAGAGCAGTAAATGCGCCTTTGGAAAAGGTCACAGTGGAGGGTTTTTTCTCGCAGGTCTTTGACTAGCAGCTTCTTTCAAAGGCTCCTTTTAAATCACTCTAACAGAAACATAAGTGAAAACTAACTAACGGTATGTGACAGATTTACTCAGTGTTTAGACTGAACAGATAACCCTATTTGTGCTTTTACTGTACATGCATACTGTAAATCACAAGCTTTTATTAAAGGCAGCAGAAACCTTTTTACATACATTTATCAGGAGCAGGTCTATAGGTGTTTTAGACCATAACAACTCAGAACAACAAGAAATGTACCAGTATATTTTCTTCTAAATAAGCCAAACAATTAAAGTACTAGAGCATTACTTTTAAGTGTGTTAGACTTGTTTTTTATTTTCTAATGGTCAAGGTACAGGTGAAACAGAAGGATTTCAGTTTGCGACAAAATATAAGTAGATTTTCTGATGTCAGTATCTAGCAGTTTTTCTATTGATACGATATGATAAGATACTAATTTATTGTCAGATCAAGTCTGAAATGTTGCATCATAGCCGCTCCATTTGCAAACATCAAACAAGGACAAATATTAAGACACAAGGAAAACAAACATTTAACTTAACATTGCGATCACTGAAGAGAAATATGCTCACAGACCCTTTAGAGTACATTTGATCTGGGATTTACCTCTGTATTTAATGATGGCTGTGTTCCAGGTGTAGACAGTGATGTTTATGACCTTAAAGTGTGGACGTATACTCTTAGACAACTTAAGCCTAACCTTTTCATTTCCTCTGCAATATATAAACACAACAGCAAGGCTTCTATCTCCAGACTTGTATCAGTATGGATATGGACCAATGTCCTCAGCTAATTAAATCTATAACCACTTTGAAAACACAGGTTGGTGTGAGCTGGTGGTTTGAATGAGGGCCAGTGGAATGTAATTTAATGAAGACAGCTAATTGGGTCAGAGATATTTATCTTCATTAGGCAATAAGAAGGGAACCTGCAAGATGAAAGTTTTGTGAAGGGAGTCCGGAGAACAACAAAGAGACAGAGATAGAAAGTGGTTAGAGAACAACATGATAGTGTTGTCAAGGGTCTGACACAGAGAAGTGTTTTATTTTGTCTGCGGGGTTTGATGTCAGTGGTTATGAGAAGGGAAGGTAATAGGATTCAGGGGAGATCCGGACCGAGAGTGCATCCTAATGGAGGGAAGAGCAACAGAGCTGAAGAAGTCCAAAAACACTTTTCCATGTCCTCCATCTCAACTGGAAGGCTTAGTCTGCCATCCAGTGGACATTTGAATTCATTACGTGAAGAAGAAAAGACATTTTTGTCTCACATACTGTAACAAGCAGTCAATCAGTGGTGGACTCAGATTGTATACTTAAATAAAGCTATACTTGATCTTAAAAATACTCTGTTACAAATAAGGTCCTGCTTTCGAAATCTTATTTACAAAGTAAATCAAGTAACTCAAGTTGTCGATCTAGTTGGCTTCTAAATGAAAGAAGGGTAGATTTATAAATTACTATTCAATTCAAATACATTGGGCAAAAGTACCTCAGGTAAATGTACTTCACCACATGCAGAACTGTTCTGGTACCTTGTCTGTATCAAATGTATGTGTTCATATTTGTATTTAATTGGTAGAATAAATAAAAAGTCATACAAAAAAATCTACTATAACTAACAGATTTGAGCAAATTGTGCTAAGTAATCCGTCTTTATTCTTACTCTTTTTTTGTATCCCTTTGAACTAATGATGGGACACTAATAATGACTCAAATCAGCTGTTGGTGGGGGGAATCTGAGAGGTTAGGTATTCAATTAATGTTGTGGAGTAAAAGTACAATGTTTTCATTTGGAATTTGAGTTGGGTAGAAGTAAGGGGAAATGGAAATACTCAAGTAATGTACAAGGATCGCAAAATTAGTACAGTACTCAAGTAAATGTACTTAGTTGCTTTTCACCACTGTGTAAAAGCCATGTGAGCTACAGCTGGGGGGAAATATACACTAAATGAAGGATAATTACATTTTAACCAACATTAAATAAATAGCATTGTTTCTAGAGGATTCCACAAAAGCCTTTCCTGCTTCTTGTCCTTGTTGGATTGATGCTTTCTTGGCAATATTGCAGCAGCAGAGGTGAGGAGGTGAGGGGTTGATTAGCTGGAAGTACCAGAGGGAGTTTGGGGGAGTCGAAGGTGATGGAGGTCCCCAATTATCTTCCTGGCTGCTTGGAGAAGAGGAGGTCACGACCCCTTCCCCTCTCAGCAGACTGAGTGATGGGCTGCCGTTTGCCCTTGCCCTGCACTGATACAAGCAGGCTGAAGTAAAAATGAAGTCAGTTATAAATGTCCACCAATGGACTTTGGATTTTTTTCAGCAGCTACATCAGCACAGGGTGGGTGAGGTTATCAGCCTCTTGATGACTACTGCATCCATCAACAAGTCATCATAAGCTCCATAAGGAAGTGTGTGTACATTTAAAGGTGGGGTATGTAATTTATTTCAGAAACACTTTTTGTTATATTCCATGGAATGCTCTTAACATCCCGATAGCAATGAATAGCAATGATAGCAATAATAGCTATCATGAATAATAGCTATAATAATAAATAAATAATAATAATTAATAAATAAATAAATAAATACATAAATAAATAAATACATAAATAAATAAATAATAATAATAAATAATAGCTATAATGCATATCAATGAATCAAATTATTTGACAATAAATACATAAACACATTTCTGAGCCGGCCCGGCTAAAGTAACTGGATGGCCTACCTGCCTGTCAGCCTTCCATCTGTGCACAAACTTATCTCGTGCCCTCATTGGTCATGTGCGCGTTCGTGTGTGTTGGAGGAGGGGCTCTGTAAGGAAGTGGCAGATTTGTTCTGGTTGCGTATTTTCAAATTCTCGCGCACTCGAGTTGGTTCTACGGTGGCCGGCAGGTGCAAACGCGGAACAACGGCCAAAAACAAATACATTAGCAGGAAACAGCTGCAAATCCTGAAATGAAAAACAAACAAATCCTGAAAACAAATACAACCAAAAAACGCTGCATTTACAGAAATGATGCAAACTAAATACAACACACAAACCCCGAAAACAAACGCAACAAAAAAACGCTGCAAATACCAAAACGACATGCAAAGTCCAAAGCACATACAAATCCCAAAACACATACAAAAAAAAAACATTCCGGAAGTGTTCCAGGCCTCTAGGGGGCGCGCTACGTGGAACAGATTGATGTCTGACCAGACATAGAGGGAACGAACAAGAGTGCTGCAAATTGAAGCCGGAGGAAACGAAGTTGATCGAAGTGGAAAAAGACGATATATAAAAAGGTAAGTTTTGTTTTGATACAAAGAGCGTCATATTTACCCAGCTAGCGTTAGCTTGTTTGGTGAAAGAGCTTGCAAGTCAAGAGACAGCACTGTCTGTGCACCTAAATGTAACTCTTGACATTATATAGATTAGATATATTATAGGTGCAGAGAGGAGTTGGTTTATTGTGCTTCAATGTAAATCCTAATGTGAGAGTTAAAGGACGGTCAACAATATAATGTACCTTGGTCAGTTTGGATTTATCGTGGCATTTATTCTTAATTAAAGTGAATTTATTTTTATTTCAGTCAGTCATTTGTTTGTATGCAGGTGTGGGACATTCCAAATGTTCCAAAAGTGAGCACTCCACGAATGGACAACAGTTTGCAGGGTAAAATAAAACATTGTCAACATATTATGTTGTGCCACAAGAAGCAGAATGTTTTAACAGTACAGTAGTTTGAATATATTTGTTGTTTACCTTTATCAGACCTCTCAGTCACCCACAACCAGCGTCTGATCGGGTAAGACTAATTAAACATGTAGGTTTGAATTTGTGAACATGAAATCAATAAATACCTTTGTGTGCACTTGTTTCCTGGGTAAAAATAGGATGGAGCACCAACCCCATTCCAGGAAGAGGTCCAGTCTTCCCCGGGTCAGAACCACTTCTATAGGTAAACCATGTTGACAGTTGCATCGTGACACAGTTGTTTGCTGTGTATCTTTATTTTACATTTGTTTGTTTGTATAGCCTCCAATCACAGTGGGTAACATTGCCAGGAAGCAGAACAATTATACTTTTATACATTTCCAAATGACACCCACAACATCTGACATCTTAGTGAAGACAATACAAAAAACACCCACAAATATTTTTCAAAGATCCGATATTTTTTGTTGCATCCATTTCAAATGTTTACAAGGATTGTGCAGGAGTATGACAAAGTGCTGTTGTCAGTTTAGAATCCAATGTATTGAAAAAACAGGAAGAGGATCGACATCCTTTTGTAAATATGACTGTCATGCATATATTATGTATTTGAAAGTAATTATTCAACTGTCTTCTCACTGCAGCAACTACACAACTGTGTATGCACTTATCATTATTGATAGCCAGTCTGAGCCAGAAGACAAAATGGAGCAAAGGTATTAATTGTTACTATTACCACTTAATTTTTCTATTCTATTCTGTAAATCTTATTACTAGCTTCATCATTTAATATTACAATACATCACTTTGTCTTTCCCAGCACAGAATACCTGACTGCGGCACACATTGTTGCAGAACTCTCTGCAAAAATAACAAATACATCTTGCAGCAGGTTCAATATTAACAGAGCCAATGTGTGGGATGGAGCAATCCGCGGCTTCAAAGGTGCCTCATTCGATCCCTCTCATGAGATGTCAGTTAAGTTCACTGATGACGAGGGACAAACTGAGGATGGAGGGGACACTGGTGGTCCCAAGCGTGAGTTCCTGACCCTCCTTATGGAACGCCTGAGAATGAAGAAAACATCACGTCAGCAACTGTTTGTGCCCCATGGCGGTGTGACTTTCCCAGCCGCTCACTGTCTCAAAATCTGATTCTAAATGTATAATGTTCTCTATAAAGATAGAACTAATACACAATTATGAATGTATAATATAAGCTGTTTTGTGTATTTAATCATGCATTGGTCTAAAATTTAATGATGGCTTCTACATATTTCACATAAACAGACAATGAAAAAATGTGTCCTTCATGCTGATAACTAGTGTATGCATCTGCCAATTAGTATTCTAAACAGAGTAGTGTGTTGAATCCTTATTTCTTGCATTTGAAACAGATACAATAAAACAAGTGAACTTACTGTTGTGTTCAACTTCTGCCAAAAACTGTACATGTTTGCCACAGGAGCCACAGAACACTTGAACTGTCCCCAGATGCTGGCCACAGAAAGGACACAACATGGCGGCCTGAAAAGACATACATTGATGTAGTAAATCCATTTAATCAAGTTAATCAAAAACACATAGTCTAAATAGTGGTTAGCTAAATAAATAGAAAGATACATCATGTTTACTGTTGAATCTGTGTTTCTCTCTCTCTCTCTCTCTCTCTCTCTCTCTCTCTCTCTCTCTCTCTCTCTCTCTCTCTCTCTCTCTCTCTCTCTCTCTCTCTCCTTGAATGTCTCTATATTTGTTCTTGAGCATGTCTAATGCACACTACTCTCCTGTCATTACTTTGTCCCTCTTCACATGTTGTCACATCTCTCTCTCTCTCAATTCAATAGCTTTATTAGCATGACCATAGTTACAGGTAATTGCTAAAGCTCTGTATAGTTGCAACATCTATACACAAATATATACATATAAACAAACGGCTAAGAATTCAAATGTCCTTTTTCCGCGGCACTCACTATGGCCCGTGTTATTTGCCTGCACTTGATTTGTCATCTCTTTTAACAATGTTCTTCCCTCACTTTATCTTCTCTTCACGTGAAGCTCTCCTCTCCTCAGCTGGTGTAGTAGTTAGGCACGCTAACGCTAGCTATATAAATATGACGCTCTATGTATAAAAACAAAACTTACCTTCTTATATCTTTCTCCACTTAAATGAACTTTCTGTCCTCTCGATTTCCATCACTCTTGTTCGTTCTCTCTATGTCTGGTCAGACATCAATCTGTTCCACGTAGCGCGCCCCCTAGAGGCCTGGAGCACTTCCGGAATGGTTTTTTTGTATGTGTTTTGGGATTTGTACGTGCTTTGGACTTTGCATATCATTTTGGTATTTGCAGCGTTTTTTTGTTGCGTTTGTTTTCGTGGTTTGTGTGTTGTATTTAGTTTGCAACATTTCTGTAAATGCAGCGTTTTTCTGTTGTATTTGTTTTCAGGATTTGTTGTTTTTCATTTCATTATTTGCAGGTGTTTCCTGCTTATGTATGCATTTTGGGCCGTTGTTCCGCGTTTGCACCTGCCGGCCACCGTAGATTTCTCCAAAATGACCTACCCCACCTATAGCCTAATGTTAAAATAACAGAACATTTTCTAAATGTGTCACCCTGAAATCGGCCCTTACTGTTTTAATTTACATGATTTATGCCAATTCATTCCTCTGAATTATGAATTATGTTTGTGGCATATGGGATTATTGTTTTTATCATTTGCAGGGTTGCAAGTGTTCCTTTAAAAATGTGTTTTGTATCAATGATTAATAGAATGGTGCAGTAATGAGTCCTAAAGCCCCCTCAAAAAACGTAGCATTTCACCACTTCAGGGTTCCCTCGTCTGGAAGTCAATGGTTTTTGAACATGTTTGTGGTTCGAAGTCTGAATGACGTCTGTCTGTGGTTAACATACGTTTACGCAATGTTGTTCTATGACTGGGGAAATCCCATTGGCTTTTAATCGTGGGACCCCTTGTGATGCTAAGTTTTGGGTCTGGCCTACAAAAACATGTCATCACTGCACCACTGTAAGTACCCTGTAGATATCCCAATATCAATATGATTAATAAGTCATGGAACTTGATTACTTTCCATTACTTTTTATATTCCTTCTGGGTTTCGGTTTTTCTAAACCTAATTTACGCAAAACTTACATTTACATTTATGACAGGGAAGGGAAGTCATGTTTCATAATGTTTCGTTTCATATCGAATACCATGAACTTTATACTGTAGGATATACATTTTCATACTGCAGTGTATACCGTTGAAAAAGTGGCAAAGTCTCTATATTGAGGGATAATTGTGCAGTGCCAGCCAAGTTGCACTAGTATTGTCTGTCTAGTGTACCTTGGCTTGAAGCAAGGTTTATTAAGTTGTTGCACTTCATTTTTTTATTCCGAACCTAAGTTTCAATCATAAATCATACAATAAGTATTTGCACTCTGCAGTTTCAGGGAAGGGGGATTTGTTTTCAAACAGTGCTTTTGTTGTTATGGGGTACGCAAAGTTTGCACAATGAAATGGTTTACTTTACATGTTGCAGCTGTTTCATACAATCTGATTCCCACATAAGACTCATGAGGTGTTTTTCTGTGGGGCCAAAACGTATAAATGTAAAAGCATTTCCAATCATTGAAAAAAAAAGAAAATACCATGATATACCGTGATACACTTATAATTTGGAAAAATACCATGATATGACCTTGTTGTCATACCGCCCCAGCCCCACTAAGAGGACTGCCTGTATCAGCTTTGATTTGATAGAAATAAGGTCGAACCTCCTTGTCTACCATAGGCTACTATGATTGTTAAAATGTTTGTGTTTTGGGAACGTTTAGAGTTATTGATCCATCAATATCTTTCAAAATAAACCGAACTATGGAAAACCCTCATTATAGCTAGTCTTATCAGTATAGAGAATCCGAGAGAACATTAAAGACTGTCTCTACGACCTCTCTCTTGTAATTCCAACAATATATTAAAATCTTTTATCTATCATCAAGTGTCGTTTCAGTCGCTTTTCCGTTTAAGTCTTTACTCATTTATCATTTGCAACTAATAATGACTTATTTCTTAAGCAACTGTAGCTCATATGAAAACCTATGCAAGGATGTTCTTTTCAATTTTAGTTATCTATTCTTCACACTTTAGGATTAAGTATGTTTCTTATGTTTAAATAATAAATTTAAAAAAACAATCTTGCAATTTAATTTAATGCCTTTAGAGTTGGGACAAGTACTTAGATCTTGTACTTAAGTCAACGTAGAAGTACCAAAGTGTAGTCAGTCAAAGTCAACTTTATTGTCAATCTTTCAGTTTGTGTGTACAGACCACAGACAGAGGGATCGAAATACTGTTTCCCATAATCCAGACGAATACAAAATATATATATACAATATATATATATTGAAAAATATAGTAGGAATACTCTGTTAGAAGTAAAAGTTCTGCATTCAAAAGGTACAAAAGTACAAAAAAAAGTACAAAAGTATTACCATCAAAATATACTTATTTATATATGTTTTGTGTTATTTGTGTTAAGTGTTATCAAAGCTGGTAAAGGTGCAGCTAGTTTTAATGACTTTGTATACTGCAGGGTATTGAATGTTACTCCAGGTGTAACTAAAGTCCTATTTAAGTGTTGTTTATATGTAACATCATCAATCCAAAGTATCTAAAGTCACAACATAAATGTAGTAGAGTAAAAGTACAGTATGTAGCCTACCTCTCAATTGTAGAGTAGAAGTACAAAGTAGCATTCAATGGAAATGCTCAAATAAAGTACAAGTACCTCAGAAATTGTACTTAAGTACAGGACTTGAGTAAATGTACTTTCCACCTCTGAATGCCTTTACTTCATTTAATTTGAGCAAATAATCATTATATTTTCCTGCACTGCAGATGTTAAATTGTATGTCAATCACATAATGGGGGTGGCATCCTTTATTTGAAGATGTCTCTCATTGGACAATAGTGTTAATGGAAACGCCTTTCTGACATGTTTCTCTTGTGATTGGCCAGAAATGACGTAACAACAGAAAACCCAACCAATTAAACTCGTTGATTCTCCTGTCCCCATAAGGCAGCCAGCTTCAGCTCTCTACCAGCCTAGCTAACGAAAACAAGCCAGGCAACAGCAAGTAGCGGATTGATGTGTGTGTTTGTCATCTTTCTGCTTTTCTTTTGCTATCCTGACACCCCTCGTACACCCCGTTTCCCCCCTACTACTGTTTTATTTCTTCTTTCGTCGTCACACAACAATATAAAACTGAAGTTGCTTAAGTAAAGGTAAGGTTTTTTTCTGCTTTTCATAACTGCACCGGCTCATCCAAAATGGCTCCTTCTGCTAGCTAAGAGAAGCTAAAAATACCACCAACGTCTAACACGGACTAACCGTCGTCGCCTAGTTACTGTATCTAAGTAATGTGTACAGGGTTAATGTAGGGTGTAATGCATGTTTTAAATGTAATTTAATAAGACATGTTTGCCATTAAGTTGCACGGGATTCTGACGGGGATCGCCTAAACCTGGCCTAATGTATTTCAAGCCAGGATAAATCGGCTTATTTTATGCTTTTGTATCTTTATTTTTGTCATATTATACGGTACGTAGTTTTCAGGTATATCTATATTCCTTGTAAGTATTGCTCTGTATTTTAATGTTATAATTGTTTTTTTTAAATGTGTTTGTAATAGCTTTATTTTTAGGATAAATTGTAAGACATGAAATATAGACGTAGTACAGAAATACCCGTATAAAATACATTAAAATATGTGCAGTGTTGGTATGACAAGTGGAAAGCCGTGCAGAAATGAATGCACCACCGGACACTAACGGACACTAACGGACATGTATGTGTATACCTACTTATAATAAATAAACCTGTTTCTGGTTATGTTTCTGATTTATATAAACGCAATCTCTACTGGAAACATTAGCAGCTAACCACGCCGCCCTGCCACCATTCACTGCATAATGGTGCAGCGCTAGGTTTTCAAACTACTCTTGATTTTGTTATAAATAGCAAACAACACAGCAAAACCTAGGATACGATGGTGATAAAACACAAGCTGCATAATATGTCTCTTCCTATTGGGTTACACAACCGATTGAACCCTTTTGTTAAGTGATAACAATTGTAATGTATTCGCGAATGTCTTTATGATTCTGTAGTTGTGTTGCTTGTGAAATTGTCTATTGTAGAGTATTGAAATGTATTTTCTTTGTATTGTGTATTTTGTAGATACTTTAGTGTCTACCATCTAAACACAATTGTGCTCGGGCCTTGTAAACATCCACCAGAGTTGTGACGTATCTAATTAATGGACATCGCAACAAGCAGAGTTATTGCATGTCAGCTGTTTGCTAGTCAACAGAGACTTGGTTGTAGCTCAGCAAAGACAAGCACATGTTTGTTTGGCATTTGTTGTCATTGTCTCATCTGCATACCTTTATTCATCCCACAGAGGGGACATGTACATTGTTACAGCTAAATGTAAGAGCCACAAATAGCAAAATATTAATTTAGAGGCATGTCAAAATAGAATACAAATCCAGGTGGAAACCAAAAAGTACCAGTGACCGTATTTCTTTGCTCAATGCTCAGATATTACTTTGTTTTATGTAATACATTGTGTTTGTCATGTACTCCAGTACCAGGTTTACTTTAGTAATCTGATCTGTTATTACTGGCAAAGCTCATAACAACGATCTGGCTAATCGTCCTAGTTTGCCAAGTGTCATGCCATTTTTTAATAGCGTTGTAGCTAATGATGTAGCATATAAATATGCTTTGTATTTCCCCGTTACTAATTGCACTCCCTTTGTTTTCCCTTTCCTCAGCACCGTTTCCCCCATCCCCTCCTGATACTCTTATTCTTTTAAGTATTCTTCATTGTCAAGCCGCCAAAGTGGAGAGTTTGATTGCAGAAGGGGGTGCTTCTCGTTTCAGGTAATAAACCCAAAACATGCACACATGTAAATAATACATTTTGTATCTTTTCCCCCCGTGGTTAGCCCCTTAGCTAGCTTTTTGGGCTGGAACTTCCGGCCTTTCGAACAAAGCAGGATGTGGGAAGGCTCAAAATGGCTGTCAGACATTTCTCTTTGTGAAACCTTTTGCTGTGTAGACATGATAAGCCTTGAGAGGATGTATGGAGTATTAGGCGCATTCACACCGCAGTACTTTTCCCACAAAGGTTCATGAGAACTTAGTTCATGAGAACTCTTTTGTCGCGTTCACACCAAAAAGAGCCGGTACTAAAATTAGTTCATGAGAACCTTTTTACCCCCACAAAAGTCCCTGCTAGAGAGCAGAGAGCTGCTAGAGAGCAGGGACTTTCGTGCGGCTCTCTTGTGAGAAAAGAGCTATATTTCTGATTGGCTGGGCGGATTGCAAACCACGCCCCGTAAAACTCCCAAAAAGTTTTGTGAAGCCGCCATTTTATTATCCTCGCATTAGCATTATTAGCATTAGCATTAGTCCAGCGCAGAAACGAAGCCAGTCCCCAACTCCGGGGACTTCCGGCCGGGGACTTTGGGCGGCAGTATACGCCGTGAAGTGGTTTGCGGCCTGCCAGTAAACCCAAAGCAGAAGAAGAAGAAGTGACGTCAGCGGCTTCATTTGCCTAATCCTCCCCAGGGATTTATTCCGGTGTGAACGCGATCTGTACTTAGTTCATGAGAACTTAGTTCATGAGAACTCTTTAGTTCTCATGAACCTTTGTGGGAAAAGTACTGCGGTGTGAATGCGCCTATTGATAGAGGCAGCAGTCTGTCTGTTCACCGTATAGAGTCATTGCCAACATGACGGCTCACCCTGGAACCAGTCTACATTAAGGCTTCATGTTTTGCAGGCCTGTATTCTAACTTGGAAAAAGGTTTAAAATGTAAGGTTGCCGTTTTTTGGTGTCATGTCAATTTTAACATGTTGAGTAGTTTTCTAATTGGCCGATCAATAAAATGCCTTGACTGACTTTACAAGTTTTGCACATGTCCTGATTTACAAGTCTATCACTGCCACTGCAGGGAATTGCAGTTCAACACACATTTCTGTATTAATAGAGCATGATGTGTGTATGATCAAACGGCAGAGCAGTCAGTGTGAACACCCTGTTCTGCTTTTCCATCACACATGTAACCGTTCATGTCGCCTTAGCTTGTTGTGCATCACGTTCTGTTATCTGAGGTCGAGAGAGATGTGTCATGGGGATTTTTCAATACTGATTACTAAGAGTCATTTTCTGATATAGATTCACAGTCAATGCTTTTAGGGAAAACATTTAGCAACACAAAGTTGATTTGAATCTTTAATTCATTTGGCTGAGTGTGTTGTGGGCTTACAGTTTTTTTGGGGGGGTTTTAAAATGTAAATGCTCCCAACTTGTAAGCAGGGTTCTTGTTTCTTAGTGTGTGTTTGGTGTTCATAAAGGTTGAATGAATATGCATTTAAATTGAGTCTCTTTTGAGGATGCAGGCTCATTTCCTTCCTCTTCAGTGCTGTGTGAAGCTCATGCAGCCTTATGTTTGCTTCCACAGTGCTTCTTCGGGGGGAGGAGGTGGTAGGGGCGCACCTCAGCACTATCCCAAGACTGTCGGCAACAGGTTTGTCATTTGAACATTTCTAAGATCACACTTAACGCATCCCTATCTAATATATTAACACTAAAGCACTCGTTTTATCACCCCACTGCTAAAGAAACCTGACAACCTTGTTTATTATAGGACCTGAATTACAGGAAGCTTTTATTTGAATACCCAGAAGTGCTGTTACATGATGTCAGTCAACTGCCGAGAGCACAGGCTTGTTTACTAACCAGCGTGCCGTCTGGGATGGTGTTACAACAAAGGGTGAAAAGGGAAATTGTTAAAAGGTCTAGCATTGGCCACGAAACATTTAGGGGACATTTTCCTACTGCTTATCATTTACATCCACACCTGCATTTTTATTTTAGGTAAAGAAGATGAGGAGAGAATTATACCCCTTCTGTATACGTTGGTAGACAGGTAGTGCAGCACTTGTAGTATAAAATGTGCAGTTACCCTTAACATATTCTACTGGAACAATGCATGCATTGCAAGTGCACTTATTATTTTTCTGTACTAGCCATGTAGTCTTCAAATATTGTGGTATTCACTCTCTCTTCACTTCCACAGCGAGTTCCTGGGGAAAACCCCAGGGCAAAGCGTTCAGATATGGGTTCCTTCCCGAAGCACTAGACGAGATGTCAACTCCAGCAACGAAAAAGAGCGACACGATGCAATCTTCAGGAAAGTGAGGGGGTAAGTTCAAGCCCGTATGTGTATTTATTTCTCGTTAATTATCCATCACCAGGGACAAGAAACATTTGTATTCTCCCTTTTATCCAGACTTGCAATAGTGTGCAAGAATTCTTATCGCCTGAGGCTTAAAGATTGTTGGTACTACCATTTCAGTTGTGCAGTCGTGAAATGCATATATAACAGTTGGTCTGGATTGCAAGAAGAGCTCTACTCAAGAAACAGGCCTGCAGATGTTTGAGCAACAACCTTGACATTTGGATCAGTGAATGTCAAGGATTTCGTTAAAGCAGGTTGATTCAAAAGAAATGTCTGCTTCCTATAAAAGTTAAATCTATTAGTTCCCGATCTGAAGTTAACCAATAGTTTGTCCTTGCGTTCACTTTCTGCTCATCGTGTATTGTTGATACATTTCTTGATGTACACAATCAGGACAGAGTGTTACGTTGTGTAGTTCTGCAGTCACTAAGATGGCATTTGCATTGCTAATTGCAATTCAACCCGTTTCCCCTTTTGTCAGTTAATGTTTACATAAGATGACTAGATGACGGTTTCCTCAGGAATGTAGCATAGCTCGTGGCGTCCACCTGGGGCAGATCATTCATTTCTGTACAATCATCGAGCCATATTCTTATGTAATCAGTGTTTCCCTTTTATACTGAAATGCTTGGTTTTCTCTTCTCTTGCTAACTTGCATTTCTTAACCCACTATCAGAAAATGAACGTGTGTTACATTAACTCTTCTCGCTTTAAAAACACAAAGCCAGTAATATATGAAAAAGCCGATGTGGATGATGAGATTTTCTAACGAAGCCTGTGGATTTCTAAATCATTATTAATTGGCTCTGTTGCACTGCGTCACAGAAAGTGAAGTGATGCTGCAGCTTTCTCCAGGCGTGTGAATTCATTCTGAAGGGTAATGACATAGTGGAAAGATACTCTTTAGAAGACTTACTGAGATGTAATGGACTATTGAGTTTGACCTCAAATAAGTCTGAAGGAAGGGGCAGATTTGTTTCGGCTGCGTACTTTCAAATTCTAGCGCTCTCTAGCTGGTTTCTCCATTCTTACCTACCTTTAAGGACTACTTCTTGAGGCAGACTTGTGTAACTTCACACGTAAAACTGGTTGAACAAGTGTCAGCAACAGGGTTTATGTTTAGGAAGAGAGGGGTATAACTTCCTTCTTCAGTGTCAGCATCTGGGTTAAGGAGAAGATCAGAAACCCTTCAGAGAGGGCAATCTTTTAAAACTCAGGATGGTGTTTGTTTGAGGTTGTCCTAACAAGCCACATGAAAGTAAACATGAGGAAACCTTCTTGCTAACTGTATCATGCCAACATCTTGATCTTGTATAAGGTACTGACTTCCTTATCTTGCCGCCCCTCCCTTCCTCTCTTGTTTTTATTTTTCCCAGCATACTCAACAAACTCACGCCTGAAAGGTTTGACAAGCTATGCCTCGAGCTCCTCAACGTGGGCGTAGATTCCAAACTCGTCCTTAAAGGAATCATCTTGCTGGTAATGAAACATTTTTCTTTTATCCTTCAGTCCTCTGCTGAATGGAAATGTATTCACCCTTTTCTTGGCACGGTGCTCAGAGTGACTCATACCCATTTTAATGACCCGAGTGGTCCCTCTTCTTCCTCCCCTCCTCCTCCCCTCTTCCTCCTCCCCTCTTCCTCCTCTCCTCCTCTCCTCCTCTCCCTCCTCCCCCTCAGATTGTAGACAAAGCCCTAGAAGAGCCGAAGTATAGCTCGCTCTATGCTCAGCTATGTCTGCGCTTGGCAGAGGACGCACCAAACTTTGATGGCCCTTCATCTGAGATCCAAACATCCCAAAAGCAGAGCACAGTAAGTGTGGATGTGTGGTTAAATACATGCTCCAGCCGTGAGAACATTTATTCTCCTCCTTTATGTCATTTCTGTTCTACTGAGAGGGCTATAATTAAGCCACGAGTAAAAGCTCATGGTTTCTCCAAATACTTGTTTTGGTCCTTCATTTAATTGTAAGCTGGTGACATGATTTAAATTGGTTGAGCTCAGGGCTGCCCTTAACTTAAGCTTTTCCCACTCGACCAGTAGTCAGTTCAGATTAGTCGTCTCACTTTTCTAATATTTTATAATTACTACTATTGATTTATTTTTGCTTCTGAAAATGGTTTCATTTCAAGGGCTGAGAAAGAACCTTATGAGTAACTAGCATGCATGCATATACAATTTATTATACAATTGTAAGAATGAGCCTTTGAAATAAATATAAATGAAATGTTACACATGCAAAGGGATTGCATGTCACAGCGCACGGACGAATATGTGACTTTCCAAACTGCAGAACAGCGGTGAGGATTCTAAATGTTTGTCAGAACAAGCTGCAAGGACACACTTGAAGGTCCCATGACATGGCCATTTCTACTGATCATAATTCCATTGTTGAGGTCTACTAGAATAGATTTATATTGCTCAATGTTCCAAACTCACATTGGTTTCTCACAGCATCTCTGTATAGTATGTGTATTCACTCTTTGTCCTACACGGCTTGTTGGAGCTCCTGCCCCCCACCCCCCCTGTGAGCCCGCTGTGCTCTGATGAGTCCACCACCGTTACAGCGGAACATCAGTGATTATGTGTTAAAATGGCGTTTGTTAGCAACCAGGAAATGACACCAGTAATGACAAACAGATGAGAATGCTGCGTGGGGTCTGGGTGCCGTGTTGGCAGGACGTTGCGGGGCTCGCTGCTCCGCCCTTTGAGGCTCGAGGAGCGGACAGTGTGAGCTGGATTACTGGTGTCGTTTCCTGGTTGCTGCGTGGGGTCTGTGACGGTACGTCCACACAGCCGCGTTAAAAAAATCTTGGCCGTATCTGAAGCTTGGGGATTTTTTGCGACCAACAACCAATCCCATGAATCTCCCGCCCCCGACATACAAAGCAATAGCAATGTTAAAACGAAGTAAACTGGATATAAACTCCCCAAACAGGCGAAAACCTACCAGTTTCACCCACTGTCTCTGCCACCTCCCTCCATGCCTGGTTCCTCCGGTTTGTATCCCGGTAAGTTAATAGGGACAGGTCATAAAGAACCGGGTGATTTGCTACCGTAATAACTTCTCCTCCATTTTCAGGAATATAGAAAATGAACTGTCTCTCCCAGCTTGCACGCGGTTTGATTGGCTAGTGCTTGTACTGTCAGATTTGCATAAATGGGATTTGATTGGCTGACGCTTCCACCTCAGCTTCAAAAGTTGAACATTGCTCAACTTTTGAATCCTGGAAAACTTCGCTTTGCTTCCCACAATGCAGTTCGGCGAAAAGTGAGGCAATGTGACGTCACCCCATTCAAAGTGAATGGGCAGAAGCGTTGGAAGATTTTTTTAACGCTTTGAGCTCAGGCTGAGAAATCCGTGGAGCTGCGGCTGAGAAAAGACTTTGCAGACCGTTTACATGCAGAACAAGTTACATAACACACAAGGGGACGGGTAATAACCGGAAAAGCATGACATGGGACCTTTAACAAACAAATAAATAATACTAAGCAAACGGAAAATATACACGTCTGCAAAGATGCAACGTTAAGCCCTGATCGTGGGATAAAAACTTTAATTTATTATTTCCAGAGTAGAAAACTCACTCAAAATAACCCATACTTTGGATTTTCTGCCCAAACATAATGTACTCTACGAGCATGTGGTTCAAGATTAGGTAGATGTTCAGGCTCATGCGACAAAGCACAGCGCCCAGATGAAGTTGTTGTTTTTATTTACAAACACAAATTGCTGGACTTTTTTTAATCTAACCTTTTTGTTATTTTGCATCGCAGACTTTCAGACGACTGCTAATTTCCAAACTTCAAGATGAATTTGAAAACCGCACCAGAAATGTTGAAAGTAAGTCTGTGTCTTTGTGCATTACCTTGTTGTCTCATTTCCTCCCAGCCTGTCCTCAACTCACTTCTGTTTTCCATCCTCTCTGTTCAGTCTATGACAAACATGACAACCCTCTTACTTCTGAGGAGGAGGAGCAGCGTTCCATTGCCAAGAGAAAGATGCTTGGCAACATCAAATTCATCGGGGAACTTGGCAAACTCGACCTCATCCACGAATCTATCCTTCACAAGTGCATCAAAACAGTACGTGCCCTTTTGTGTGTTTGGTTTCAACTCACGTCCTTTTTCTCATTTACTGCATGCCTTCATGAAACCAGACTAGAGTACCTTGTTTGAACCTTACTTATCCCCTTCATCTTTTGTGAAGCTGCTGGAAAAGAAGAAAAGAGTCCAGCTCAAGGACATGGGGGAGGATCTGGAGTGCCTCTGTCAGATAATGAGAACAGTGGGGCCGAGACTCGACCACAACAAAGCAAAGGTAACGGCTCCAGACTCTTAATGGCACAGCAACATCTGCAGAGGATGTGTTTGGCAAGAATTTGCGATTTACAAAATAAAAAAATGATCACAGCTGCCAGTTACTTAACCCTCCGGTATCATTCGATTGGACGACGCAAATTAGTCATTCGGGACAAAAATGTCCACTGCCAAAAACTTTGATAAAAGGTTTTTTTCTCAACTTTTTTTAGGTTCAATCTTTAAAGCAACTAATCAAAAATACGAAATATTTAATAATTTTCAGGATTTTAACCCTTTAAATGCCATTTTGAATACATGAAATCACTGTTTTTCATGATAAAAACTGAGAAAATGATTTATTTTCCATATAATACATATCTGGGGAATGGCTTTTTTTTAAATCACAGTCTTGGATATGTCAAAGATTAGCAACAAAATGTATTTTTTTGCATTATTATTTTTTGCACAAAATCAGATTAAACAAAAAAACTCCCACTTCATTCGGGACAAAAATGTCCACTTCCAAAAACTGCTATAAAATGATAACAGATTCATATTTTTACACACAAATAATCTTCATACTGTCTGATTATTAATATTTGTTTACATTTTCCTACAATGACGGGCTTTTCCTGGTGCTAAAAAACACTTCACAAGCAAATAAAAATCCTGGTGAGACGGTAGCGGATTAACAGTTGAAAGCAAGAGTGACAGTTTTTGCCTGTAAACTTTATACAATCATTTTAATGAAATAACATCAATAGGGTTTTTGAGAATTTACAATATCACAAAAACACCCAATCACAAAACTGCAATGACATTTTTTTACTTATTTTACTTGATTTGACCCTAGTCAAATTCAATACACAGAAACATTCATAAGGTGGTTAGTTACACAGAGAATACATGCACAAGTACAATTGTAAAAGCTTTTAAGAACTTAATTTTTGGACATTTTACACTATGTTTTTAGCTGGCCTTTTACTGTATTCTTTACCCTGCCAGTCTCTTTTTGTAAGCATTTGTGTTCCGGTCTGGTTTACTGTGTCACCTCGAGTCCTGTCTGAGCTCCCAGTCTCACCTAAAGCCCCACTCGGCTCCTAGCCAGAGCCAACGTAAATCCTGCTGCTGCCACACTGAATGATCAACTCTCCCTCCCCCCCTCTCTCTCTCTCTCTCCAGTCTTTAATGGATCAGTATTTTGGCCGTATCCGATCCTTAATGAACAACAAGGAGTTGCCCGCAAGGATCCGCTTCCTGCTCCAAGACACAGTGGAACTGCGAGAAAACAACTGGATCCCCCGCAAGGCTTTCATTGACAACGGACCAAAGATGATTCACCAGATCCGTCAGGAGGCAGTGAAAGTGAGTGCAGTGAAATCACGGGGGTCTTTGGGTAGATCGCCCACATTTCGGGATAATTATTCGTTGATGTCCAATAGCAAGGATACAAAGATACTTTTATTATCACTGCAATTAACTCCTATTGTAGTCCCAATCTGCTAGAGAAGAAAAAAAGGCGATTGATTGTACTACTAGATACTTCTTAACAGGCCAGGGCAAGGGTTAGTATCCTTTTAAATATCCTCTGGGCTCTTCACAGGAACATCTTCTTCCTGATGTCACTGATCCTTGGTAAATAGGTACCAGTTTAACCAGTTTTATTCACCTGCTGCAAGGCCCTTCTGTCCCGAGTCGTGCACAAACCATGACAATGTTTAACATCTTAAAAAGTTAAAGGGGACCTATCATGCAAAATGCACTTTTTGATGTCTTTTATACATAAAGATGTGTCCCCGGTGTGTCAGGGAACTCACGCAGCGTCAGAAAATAAAACCCTCTCTCTTTTCCTCCGTACCCAAATCTCTAAAAACGGGGAACAACGGAGCTGATCCAGATTTGCGTCCGATATGACGTAATATCTGAAATGTGGACCCACGGCCCAATCAGAAACGTTGCTATCAGAAACAACGCCCGACTGTTTTGGATGTAATATGGTCTCCCTGCACTGCAGCCGTGCCTGTAGTCCCTCCCTCTCAAGCACGCTCTAAGTCCCTCCCCTCTCTCGTGCACGCGGCCACGCGCTAGCTGCCAGAGCATGTGAGAAAACGAGAAGCATGGCTGCAAGTGGGAGTGCAGCTGCCGCTGCGCCTCGGCTTGTTGACAAAAAAGACGCCAGAAGCGACATTTGGAAGTATTTGAGCTATATCTCTGACAGTGAGGGCAAGCCTACGGACACCACGAGGCCTGTCTGTCAGACATGTATTAATTTGATTTAATACGAATTATTGTCCTTTATTTTATTTATTGTTCTCATTGTTTAAAAGTTTGTGTTATGGTTATGGTTCTGGTGTGAAATAAAGGGCCCCCCCCTGAAATTCAAGGTGTTATATATATATATATATAATTTTAAAAAAAATATATATATATATATATAGCACCAAATTGCAAATAATCTATAACTACTGTCACTTTTCACATTGAACATGTGCTCTTTTATTAAATAAACTAAACGCTTTCATCTTAAGTTGTGAGTTTAGTGTTTTTGACCCTAAGAAACACTGATGCATTAATCAATAACAATAATCCACAGCTCCTCTCTCTGCTCCAGAGGATTTAAAAAAAAAATATCCCAATGCCACAAAAATGCATCAGTGACGTGGTTGAAATCTTGTCTCCAGAAAACTAAAAACTGAAACAATATCAGTGACTGTGTGTTTGATGTGGCTCTTTGCAGTAACATAGAAAACATGTGGCTCTTAACCTCTGACTGGTTGGCCACCCCTGCCCTACAGGGTGTACGTTGAGGGTTTTGACTCTGCACACCGTTTACATGCAGAAAAACCTTCATAACACACAAGGGGGCGGGTACTAACCGGAAAAGCATGACATGTCACCTTTAATAATTTTTCCGCAACGATAACAATCGTGTAGTTTGGTATGGAGTATGGAACTGCCTTGAGTTAATGCTGGATATGAAATGTAAGGACCCCCGCTCTGTTCTGTGTTTTCCTTTTAGGATTTGAGTGTTTTCATCCCAGCACCCATGTCTCAGGGGATGAGGATGGACTTCTTCCTGGAAAGCCCCTTCATGCCCAACAGAATGAAACTGGACAGGGAGACTCTCGGGGGATTGGCCGATATGTTTGGGCAGATGCCAGGTACGGACTTTAACTCATGACGTCTCGACTCAGGCTGCACGATTAATCACAATGTTATCGCAACATGGACTAGCGCAATATTATTCACAGGAAGCTAAATATTGGTGTAAGGCTAGATATGTGCTGCTGCAGAGAAGTCCTGGGAGACCAATTGAACTCTTCAGACTTGGGTAGAAATATTCTTAGAAAAATCACACCATGATCATTTGTTGTCGCACAATCAATCTAAATAATTGTTTTTTTTTAATCGTACAGAGCTAGTCTCAACTTGTGAAGCCACATCATGTTTTCATTAACCTTTCATGCTTTCTGTATTGAATGTCATTTTTAGATGAACTCATTTTGAAGTTGTTGTGGTGCACAAGGATGACTAAAATGATACAAAATAGTTTGATTTGGTTTTATGTTCACCCTATAATGCTCGATTGTTTCTCCTGCTTGACCTCTCCTCTGTGTGCCCAGGCGGTGGGATTGGAACTGGCCCTGGGGTTATTCAGGATCGGTACTCGCCCACCATGGGACGCCATCGCACCAACCCGCTCTTCAACGGCCACAGTGGCCACATCGCCCCCCCCGCCACAGTCACAGTTCGACGTGGGGCAAAAGTCTTTCGTTAAGTCCAACCAGGTAATCCTGCTGCCACATTTTAATATTATACAGACTGACAGTGATGGATGCTTCACTGCAGATCCTGAAGTTATTCACTATTACCATGTGACTTTCAACAGGTTCAGAACCAGCATTTCCTCAACCAGAACCAGAACCACCTGGCCCAGCAGCAAGTCCAGTCCAAGGACATGCCTCCCCGATTCAGCAAGAAAGGACAGCTCAATGCAGACGAGGTAACTACACGTTGTTGTAGTTGGGTTACAGGATATGGACAAAGAAGAAACGTCTATTGATGACGACTATGACATGAGGGCTTGGATGTAGCTCTTGGGGAGATTTTTTTGTTTACCAACAAATAAACGGAGGACATGCGAGTGCACGACTAATCGTATTGTATGCCTTGTGTTTATGCCGTCTGCTGGTGTCTCAGATCAGCCTCAGACCTGCTCAGTCATTCCTCCTCAACAAGAACCAGGTACCCAAACTCCAGCTTCAGATCCCCACCATGATGCCTCCCAGCGCCCAGCCCCCCCGCACTCAGACCCCCCCTCTGGGACAGGTAGGAGACCGTCTCAGTTTAGATCATTTTAAGATGCACCACAGTTCCTACAGATCCTAAACATTTAAAAAAGGTATTGAATGCATTTATTTTGAATTAAAAAAAATCACATTCCTTTTTTAAAAGCTGTGAAAATATTAAAGTACGATTTTAATTAATTTAAAAAATATATAATTTGCATTTCTTGTGTTGCATTATCAAAAAAATGTACCTAAAAAAAAAAAAGGGTTAAATAATTGATAAAATTGCCGATCCGGAGAAATGTGTCTGCATTAAAACAAATAAAGGAAAAGGGTAGTTAACATTTAAAGAATACAAAAAGCATTCAAAGAAAACATTGAAAGTGTTAAAGATTAGCGTGGGAGAGAAGTAAAGAAGCCTGGCCACACCGAATCATCAGTAAACGTTTCTTGGTGCTGTATCTAAGATAATAATCACATGACCTTTTTGTTCCTCAGCCCCCACAGCTCGGCCTGAAGACCAACCCTCCGCCCATCCAAGAGAAACCTCAGAAGATCAACAAGAAACCCCCGCCTGCCAAGGAGGAACTGCTTAAAATGACGGTAAGGAAAATCAAATCCTCCACTGTTCACCGTCTAGAAGTCCTGCTGTGTATAAACAATGGAAGATTGATCTATACATTTGACTAGGCATCGAGTGTGTGATATACAATACTGTAACATAGTTTTAATTTGTTACAAAAAAGGTAGAAGGGGGAGGCGTGTGTTGGTGTTCGGATCAGGGGGGTACAGGTTCAAACCCCACTGCAGTCAGCATGTCGTTGTGTCCCTGGGCAAGACATTTCACCCCAAATTGCTCCTGTGGGGATTGGCCACAGGATTGAGTATGTAAGTCGCTTTGGATAAAGGTAGAAAGACAAATCTAAAGAACAAAAAAATATGGAAACAAAATCAGTTAATGAAAAATGCTTGTCATTAAAGATAACGTTGCATACCCTAGACACTAAAATATTTGTAACCTCTTAAAAGGAGTTTCATAATTCATCAAGAAAATGTGGTATAATTGGAATAAAATGTCTTAAAGGGGACCTATCATGCAAAATGCACTTTTTGATGTCTTTTATACATAAACATGTGTCCCCGGTGTGTCAGGGAACTCACGCAGCATCAGAAAATAAAACCCCCTCTCTTTTCCTCCGTACCCAAATCTCTAAAAACGGGGCTACAACGGAGCTGATCCAGATTTGCGTCCGATATGACGTAATATCTGAAATGTGGACCCACGGCCCAATCAGAAACGTTGCTATCAGAAACAATGCCTGACTGTTTTGGACGTAATATGGTCGGTGTTTACATTAGCATCGCTAACACTCAGAGCTAACCTGTACTGGAGAGCATGTGTGTGAAGAAGCAGGAAGTAAAAAGGAACTCACCTTGTGGTATAACCGGCAAGAGAGAAAGCCTTTGAGCTCCATACTGTTTCAGAGAGAATCCTTGATCTAATAATCCTTGCGTTTCATCACTGCAGCATTTTAGACAGGATCTGCCAGGCATGTACCGGCATAAGCTCCGCCCCCTCTAATTTTGTATTTTTTTTCAGTTTAAAAAAAAAAGCTTTATTTTTTATTTAGCCTTTATTTATACAGTTGAACATCTAATTGAGACACTGGGGGTGTTTCTCAATGTCGAGGAAAGCTGCTCCAGAGCCACTATTTCAAGCATACTACGTCATCGAGTGCCGTCAAAGGACTGTTCCAATGTCCAGCATACTTGGAATTCTACCGAGCCCGGCGTATTTCGTTGGGAGAAATTTCGAGGCTGCACATGTGTAGACTCCGGTCTTAAAATCCCCACAATGCTTTGTGCACGGACCAATTTCCCCAAATCTGTGGCGGAAAATGTAAGACGGGGCTTCTCATATGAAGCACACTTGCTCGCCTGTTCCGCTCTTCGTTTTCCAAATGCCAGGAAGTATTCTTGCCTCGCTTCTGAAGCAAGTGACTCGGAAGACATGTGCTACCAAGCAAGCATCCTCGACATTGAGAAACACCCAGGGTCTCATTCTCAAGAGAGACCTGTTTATACCCAGAATCAGCACTTTTGAAACAGGAAGTGAAATGGAGGGATATGAGGCATGGCTAGAATGGCTGATCTGTTTGGTATTTTGAGCAAAACACTTCATAGACATGGTTTTTATATATTTTTGTATATATATATATATATATATATATATATATATATATATATATCTATATATATATATATATATATATATATATATATATATATAGATATATATATATATATATATATATATATATATATATATATATATATGAAACCTATGCTATTGCCTAAAAATAGCATGATAGGTGACCTTTAAATCAAACTCTTTACACAAGAAACCATCGTACTGACTGCACTAGTTGGTTTGAACATGTTTTAACAAACCTTCCCAAATCCACCGTACCATGTGACAAAAAGTTAATTAATTTGATTAAAAATGTATTTGGAATGAGACTCCTTTTTTAAAAATAAATACGATAAAGTAATTCAGACCTATATGGGATTATTTGCTGTTTATCTTTAAAAGTACCACTAATGTGTCGCAGTTAAAAGCAAAAAACAAAATGAGTTTTAATATTGCATTTTTGATGATGCAACCGTCTCATTTCTGTGCATGTCCCCCTCAGGAGACGCTGGTGACGGAGTACCTGAACAGTAAGAACCTGACGGAGGCCGTGAGCAGCGCCAAAGAGATGAAAGCTCCAAAGCACTTCCTGCCGGAGATGCTGAGTAAGATCATCGTGTTTTCCCTGGACCGTCCTGACGAGGACAAGGAGCGCGCCAGCACTCTGATCCACACGCTGCACTCAGAGGGCCTCGTCACCGCAGAGAACTTCATGCAGGTACATCCAGATCCTTCAGGTCAAACCACACTGTACACATTTAGTTAGGACACATCAAACAGTCACTCTTAGTAGTTATTGCATCTAATCAAATCCTGCACAATATCTTAAATGCTTAAAAGAATGCTTCATTTTGACTTAAAAAAAACTAACTTTCTTTATTAAGTTAGAGAATAATTGACATAAAGAAATAAGGGATGAAAAGATAACCAAATGATATTACATTACAGTTAGCTGTAATTAATTGTATCATATGTGTGACTGATTAGCCCAGATGGTGACCAGGGCTGCACGGTTTGAAAATAAATAACGAATTTGATTATTTTCCCTAATATTTAGAATACAATTTAGGGGAGATTGATAGTTTTGTAACCATTATAAAAGATATATAAAACAGTTAATTCATTTATTTAGATATTTTCTCATGCTGTGTCCTGTCCTCTGGTGCAGGCCTTCCTCAGCGTCCTGGACCAGTGCCCTAAGATCGAGCAGGACGTCCCGCTGGTGAAGTCCTTCCTGGCCCAGTTTGCGGCACGGGCCGTCATGGCGGAGCTGGTGAGCGTGGCGGAGCTGGCCCACCCGCTGGAGAACGGCACGCACTTCCCCCTCTTCCTGCTCTGCCTGCAGCAGACCGCCAAGCTGAAGGACCGAGAGTGGCTCACCGACATCTTCCAGCTGAGCAAGGTCAACATGCAGAAGATGCTCCCAGGTACTGATCCACACTGTTCACACCTCTCTGCCCTAATGCAACCTGTTAGGAAAAATCTCCCTCGTCACCGGCTTGAGCTTCAATCTCAGGATCCACGTATCTGTGATCCTCTCCAGAATGGAAGTAGTCATCACATACAGAGCATCAACTAGTTCCTGAGCAGTGTCCTTCACATGCTGATATCCAAGAGAGGGAGTTACTCAGTCACAAGATGGAGGAATAGAAAGCAGTCTTCAATGTTTACTTCAGATTAGCTCCACGTCAGAAACGAGCATGCTTGATGTCTATCTCCATAGAGGCTGAATCATCATGTTAATCACATAGCTATCATATGCCTCAAACAGTCCTGATGCTCTTCTAGGTCATCACACATCCTGCCATGTTCACAGCTACAGTTGGGATACCTTTGTTATCATGTTACTCTTAGATTGGAAGAGGACATTCACTATTTTCCCAACAGGGAAATTCATTTCTTATTTCATAGTTATTTTAATTTGTAGCTTTGATTGTATTAATCTGTGTGAATCTGTGCCGTCCTGTTTTTCATCCTCACCCTGTTGCTGTTAAACTACTGAACTTCCCCGCGGGGATTAATAAAAGTCCATCTTATCTTATCTTAGATGTGACCTTTCACTAATCATAATCCGCGTTAGCATCAGCATTGGCTTTTCTACCTGGGGTCATACGCACATTCTATTCACATGTAAGCGTTTTTATAGAATGTCATGTATTATTATTATTACGTGTGTTTTAAACAGTTCAAAAGATACAAGTACACTCATAAGTAGGGCTGCACGATATTGGAAAAAGCTGACATTGCGATTTTTTTTTTTTCCCCCTGTGATATATATATATATATATATATATATTAGGGCCGGGACTCGATTACAAAAATTAATCTAATTAATTAGAGGCTTTGTAATTAATTAATCGAAATTAATCGCATTTTTAATCACATATAAATATTTGACCTGAGAACAGTGAGAAGCAATTTTTTTCACATGGATTTTAGTATACCATTAGGCGCATTCACACCACAGTACTTTTCCCACAAAGGTTCATGAGAATTTAGTTCATGAGAACTCTTTGAACCTGGGGGTGGATTAGGCAAATGAAGCCGCTGACGTCACTTCTTTCTTCTTCTGCTTTGGGTTTACTGGCAGGCCGCAAACCACTTCACGGCGTATACTGCCGCCCAAAGTCCCCGGCCGGAAGTGCCCGGAGTTGGGGAAGGCTTCAGTAGAAGCTGCTGGGAGTCCCAGCAGCCTTCCGAGTAAATCGCCAGAACGCCGACACCTCCTCATCTCCACCGCTCCCATGTTTTATTTTGTGTTGCCATAAGTTAGTCTCTCTGCGTTTCTGCGCTGGGCTAATGCTAATAATGCTAATGCGAGGATAATAAAATGGCGGCTTCACAAAACTTTTTGCGAGTTTTACGGGGCGTGGTTTGCAATCCACCCAGCCAATCAGAAATATAGCTCTTTTCTCACAAGAGAGCCGCACGAAAGTCCCTGCTCTCTAGCAGCTCTCTGCTCTCTAGCAGGGACTTTCGTGGGGGTAAAAAGGTTCTCATGAACTAATTTTAGTACCGGCTCTTTTTGGTGTGAACGCGATAAAAGAGGCTAACGTCCACGCTAGCTGCTATATGTTTTGCATTGAGGTGATACTTGAGGCTTGATGTGCTGCGGTGATATGCGAATTCCTTTTTGCATAATTTGCACACAACCGTGCTCTTATCGACGCTTCCATCCGTCCGTTTTTTTAACAACATTTCCCACTGTTGTTCACTGTGGTTTGTTGTTGTCTGAAGTCATGAACGTTAGTTGGTGCTCCAGTATAATCGGTACGCCTGAAACTCATCCAGTGAGAAACGTTCCGCGGTGCAAAAATAAGTGCGATTAAAATGCGTTAATTTTTGTGTAATTAATTAATCTTAATTAATGCGTTAAAGTCCCGGCCCTTATATATATATATATATATATATATATATATATATTATATATATATATATATATATATATATATATATATATATATATATATATATATATATATATTGCCATATGAAAAAATACAGGAATTGAATTTTGTCCGCAAACCATCCTTTCTTGAACTTTAATGCTATACAATTGTTTTGTTTTTTTAACAATATTTAACCGGATGAAGGATTTTAGTCACGGACGTCTGGATCTTAAGTTATCAGAGCAACAAGCTGAGCTAGCTCGGTTAGCAGCGCCGAACTGGGGAAACACAAGAAACGACTTTATTCAGTGTTTCTACCTTTAATCACCGGGTCCGTTTGCTTTGGAGATTTGATTGTGATTGAGTGTGTGACAGCAAACCACCAAAGTACCCCTGACATGAGAGCCGCGCAAGTTTTCCTTTTGTAGCAAGCAGCAAAATAATTTTAACATGTTTGAGTTGATTTGCCTACTTAATATCGCACGTCCTAAAAAAATGAAAAAATTGCGCGATGTAACTATCGCGCATATCGTGATTATCGTCACAACACGATATATCGTGCAGCCCTACTCATGAGACATAATGGACACGTGTGAAATGCGACACACTGACAAGTAGCTTTAGAATATGGGCACAGACATTATTTCCAATGTATCTTAGTAACACACAGAGTTGGAGATAGTTAATGCTGACTTACAAGCTAAATATATTCGACACTAACAAAACAAACATGGGTATAAAATAGGTGAGATCTAACAATGGGAAGTAATGGTTAGAATGACATTTCAGAGTTAATGTGATCTTTCTATTCCGACCCTTGTTAACATTTAGTTGTTTTCACCGTAATTCCTATTTCCTAGTAAACAAACACACAGTTCATCTATAGTTTCTGAAATGAAGATGGTTTTTGACAAAAGTTTGAACTAATGTTCTCTCAAACGACGTGCGCCTCTTCTGAAGCACTGATCCTTTTGTTCTGTCAGAAATCGATCAGAACAAAGACCGCATGCTGGAGATCCTGGAGGGGAAGGGTCTGAGCTTCCTGTTCCCGCTGCTGAAGCTGGAGAAGGAGCTGCTGAAGCAGATCCAGGCAGACCCCTCCCCTCAGTCCATCTACAAGTGGATCAAAGACAACATCTCGCCCAAGCTCCACACCGACAAAGGCTTTGTCAACATCCTCATGACCAGGTGAGCGAAGGACACAGTTTCAGTTAAACCATTCATTCATCAAGTGTTTTCATTTAACATGCAAGTCCTAGAATAAGTATGCCTAGTTTATTACTAACCACTATTTCTAATATTGATTAATCCACCCTTATTTTCTATATTACTGAAAAGGTCCACAAATGAAAAGAACAACTTAAAATGTTTTCAAACCTCAGGTGATATTTTACATTTTTGTGATATTTGAACATATTTTTTGGGGGCAATTCTTTGAAACTACATTCAGTAAAAAATATATTTAAATTGTTAAAAAATAAAGGGTAGAAATCCTCATATTGCAGAGGCGTGGACCAGCACATATTTGTCATTTTTGCTTGAATAGATACTTTAATAACTAAATGAGTCGGCAAGTTCATTAAAATTGCTTAATGATTTAATCGTATTTTTGCACACAAAGGGATATACAGGAGTAGGTGAAGTCATGTTTCCTGCAGAGGTCTCGACATACAAATATGGGCAAAACCATGCATCATCTGTTTAACTTGCATATATCAATATTCCAATGACTGGTATATAGACTATTCTGCACCATTTCTATTCTATTGTATTTACTTGCACTATTATCCATTATATATTATCAGTCCCGCCTCAAAACACATCTTTTCAACTCTGTCTACCCATAAGCCCCCCCTCCCTCTCAATCAACTTCCTCTTGACTGCCTTTTTTTGTTTATTTGATTTTACTATACTTACTTGTTTGCCTGTCCTTGTTTGTCTACCCTCCCTCATACTGTAAACGTCTTTGAGTTGTGAAAAGTGCGATATAAATCAAATGAATTATTATTATTATGTGTTTCATTGCGTTGCACTGCTGGAGGAGCCTGTGACCTAAGATGTTCATTGTCATAACTCCACTGTAGCTATGTACACATGACAATAAAAGCCGTGAATATTGATCTGACATGTTGAGACAGATTCCTAATGTAACCGTCCATCGCCCTGTGATGTCCTCCCAGTTTCCTGCAGTTCATCTCCCATGAGCTGAGCGTGTCGGAGGCCGAGGAACAGCTGGCGGCGCCCTCCAGAGACCTCCTGGAGCAGGAGAAGCAGCTGCTGCTCGCCTTCAAGCCCGTCATGCAGAAGTTCCTCCATGACCACACCGAGCTGCAGGTCAGCGCGCTCTACGCCCTGCAGGTGCACTGCAACGCCAGCGCCTTCCCCAAAGGTACAGACCCCCCCCCCCCCCCCCCACAGCTCGGGCACTTCACTAGAGAGGATCAATGTAAGCGCTTTATGGAAAGAGTTAGTTTAGAAACGGAATAGAAACCTTTATTGTCATTGTCCAATGAGATGAGTAGGTGCGATCAAAAAAACAAGAGACGTTACTTCAAGCAAGCATTCATACTTCACTATGCAGATAAAGATTGTAATACTTTTGTATGCATGCTTTAGGTAACATGAAGCTGTCTTTGGCTCTTTTCTGCCGTAACAATGTACATGTCCCCTCTGTCCACCAGAGGGCGCTGACAGCAGCAACATGTCCCCTCTGTCCACCAGAGGGCGCTGACAGCAGCAACATGTCCCCTCTGTCCACCAGAGGGCGCTGACAGCAGCAACATGTCCCCTCTGTCCACCAGAGGGCGCTGACAGCAGCAACATGTCCCCTCTGTCCACCAGAGGGCGCTGACAGCAGCAACATGTCCCCTCTGTCCACCAGAGGGCGCTGACAGCAGCAACATGTCCCCTCTGTCCACCTGAGGGCGCTGACAGCAGCAACATGTCCCCTCTGTCCACCTGAGGGCGCTGACAGCAGCAACATGTCCCCTCTGTCCACCAGAGGGCGCTGACAGCAGCAACATGTCCCCTCTGTCCACCAGAGGGCGCTGACAGCAGCAACATGTCCCCTCTGTCCACCAGAGGGCGCTGACAGCAGCAACATGTCCCCTCTGTCCACCAGAGGGCGCTGACAGCAGCAACATGTCCCCTCTGTCCACCAGAGGGCGCTGACAGCAGCAACATGTCCCCTCTGTCCACCAGAGGGCGCTGACAGCAGCAACATGTCCCCTCTGTCCACCAGAGGGCGCTGACAGCAGCAACATGTCCCCTCTGTAAGGAATTAGGTCATAAGGAAATAATCAAATGCTAATTTATTCATGTAAAAGAATGGATCTCCCTGGTTTATAGTTATTTAAAGTATTACAATTCAGGTATAAACCACCAAGTATTTTTAAATATATATTGTGTGGGGGAAACTTCTGAAGCAATAGGAGTCAGGACTCGGAGAGACACGAGGAGAGCTGGAGCTTTGATGGCAAACACTGACGGTTTATTTGGAGCTTCGGCCGGAGAATTCACAAGACATGCCACGAGTTGACCACACGGTTGAGATCAATCCTGAAGAGCCCTCCTGTAGCTCCAGGCTTTAACTCGTTCAGAGTGTAATAATCAACATTCTTCAATAGATAGACTAAACAGCTGAGGACACTGAATCACATTTGTTGTCGCTTATGGCTCGAGGTCATCTACACCCCGAGAAGGATGTGTTCCAGGTGTCCCACAACAATAACTATCTCTGACAGAGAGTTGCCCGGTCACAAACTGGTAACAACAACAATATGCTAGGGCAGCCCCTCCTTAAGGGAGATAACGGCTGCTCAAGGTTGGTCATCTGCGTCAGAGGGCGCAGGAGGACATGCAGGGCGAATGATTCCCCAACATATTCAATCAATCAATCAATGATTATTTATATAACCCAATATCACAAATATTACATTTTGTACAGAATATCAGTATGACAATACGACCCTCTGTCCTTAGACATATTGAAGTGTAAAGGAGAGCAGCAATGTCTCAAACCAATGTTTTGATGCGCCACAAGTACTCTTGTTTTTATATTAAAAAACGTACTAACAACAAAGCTTTCATGTGTTGCTAGAAGAACCATATTGTTTAAAAAGATATGAAATAATGCCCCTTTCCCCTCAGGCTTGCTGCTGCGCTACTTTGCCAACTTTTACGACATGGAGATCATCGAAGAAGAAGCCTTCCTCGCATGGAAAGAAGATATAAGTCAAGAATTCCCCGGGAAAGGGAAGTCTTTATTCCAGGTACAGCGACGCCCTCACAGCGGGGTCTGAGTGGTTCTCAAACACCTGCAGTAATTACTTTGACCTCATTTCCTCCACTGTTCACAACCACCATGTTACTTCTCCATCAGCAGCCTAACCCTTCCAAGCAACACAACACGTGTGTTGAAGTCTAATTGTATCACTGTGTGTATATCTATCTCTCTCTCTCTATCTCTCTCTCTGTCTCTCTCTCTCTTGCCCCTTTCACACCAGCGCTTTTTCAGCTCCGGCTCGGAGCTGGAGCTGAAAAGTGCCGGTTTTTCCTGTTCACACCGCAGCGGCGCCGGCTCTTAGCTCCGGAATCCGGTTCACTTCCAGCTCCAAAAAATTGTCGGTCTAGAGGCAAGAGCTTCGGAGCTAAGAGGTGGCGTCGCTTACGTCTCTCTTACGTCGAGGCGTGCAGGAAACTAAACCCACCTCCCCTGAACATGGGTCGACTGTCATGCCTGCCTACAAGCAGTAGTGCTTATAAACACACTTTATAAAGTCAGGCGACACTAACCAGGCTTCGTGTGATTCTGTTTATTTGTTCCTTACTTTGACCATCCGTTCATTGTTATTGATCATTGTGGAGAGAGGCAGACGTGTTGTTTTGTATTATAGCAGCTATCGGATGGAATCAATACATGGGCTGCACAGGTTGTCGTGTCCGACTATCACAAGTAGAATCATAATAAAAATACGCCGGTAAAATGTGCCTGTAGAAAACGGTTTATGCCACAATAGGATAGCAATAGCAAGTAGTCAGTTTAGCTTCGGTTGCTATGCTAACATCACCCATTTTATACCAGAGAAACTTTCATAACAGCGTTGTGATGCCAAACAGCGTCAATTCAGACGGACACACATTCACTTAGGCTAAGGGGAACTGGGGATATGTATCAGCTGCTTGTGTGACAGTCGGACAGTGAATACTTTAGAGCGGCCGCTGCAGTCAGTGTGAGCTAACCGGGAGCTAACGGAGGACAATAAACTCCCGTGGAAGAGCAGCGGTCGGTAAATGCTGCAGAAACACATTAATAAACAATGAACCACGGCACTCTGGAGAAAAGCATAAGGTTGGAGAAGTCGTTATTCAATTTATTCTGGCTTCGTGTGATTAAAAGCAACACGATCATCGACCCGACGCAGTTCCCAGTTGTTGTGAGCGCCGTAATGCCGTTGGGGAGCAAATCAGCGATGTAAACGATGACGTCATGACGCAGCAGCGGCAGCACCAGTCGGGTGCTGGGCGGTGTGAACAGAGCGGGAGCAGAAAAGGGAAACCGGAGCTGAACCAGAAAAGCTCCCGCTCGGAGCTAGAAAGGGAAAAGCGCTGGTGTGAAAGCCGCATCAGTCTCTCTCTCTGTGTCTCTGTCTCTGTCTCTGTCTCTGTCTCTCTCTCTGTGTCTCTGTCTCTCTCTCTCTCTGTCTCTCTCTGTGTCTCTGTCTATCTCTGTCTCTCTCTGTCTCTCTCTGTCTCTCTGTGTCTGTGTGTCTCTCTCTCTCTCTCTCTCTGTCTGTCTCTCTGTCTCTGTCTCTGTCTCTGTCTCTGTCTCTCTCTCTCTCTCTGTCTCTCTCTCTGTCTCTCTCTGTGTCTCTCTGTCTCTCTGTCTCTCTCTGTCTCTGTCTCTCTCTGTGTCTCTGTCTCTCTCTCTGTCTCTCTCTGTGTCTCTGTCTCTCTGTCTCTCTCTCTCTCTGTCTCTGTCTCTCTCTGTGTCTCTGTCTCTCTCTGTCTCTCTCTGTCTCTCTGTGTCTCTGTCTCTCTCTCTCTCTGTCTCTGTCTCTCTCTGTCTCTCTCTGTGTCTCTGTCTATCTCTGTCTCTCTCTGTCTCTCTGTGTCTGTGTGTGTCTCTCTCTCTGTCTCTGTCTGTCTCTCTGTCTCTGTCTCTGTCTCTCTCTCTCTCTCTGTCTCTCTCTCTGTCTCTCTCTGTGTCTCTGTCTCTCTCTCTCTCTCTGTCTCTCTCTGTGTCTCCTCTCTCTCTGTCTCTGTCTATCTCTGTCCTCTCTGTCTCTCTGTGTCTGTGTG